GTGCTTGTTCAAACTTCTTGTGTCAATACACCACAGCAAAATGGTCGGGTTGAGCGTAAACATCGTCACATTCTTAATGTTGCTCGTTCATTAATGTTTCAGGCTTCTTTACCTCTTGAGTTTTGGGGGGAATGTATTCGCACCTCTGTTTATCTCATTAACCGTACACCCACTCCACTATTACAAGGTAAATCTCCTTTCGAAATGCTTTCTTCAAAACCTCCAGACTTGTCTCACCTCCGGAATATGGCATATTGTCATCCCCTCCTGAGTCCACTCTTTAATGCCTTTCCTGTTGTTTTGCTAAGAAGAGTGAGACATGTTTATAATCATAGCTACTACACACCATGCAGACATTTTTCACAAGCGTTCTTGGAAGACATCATTTGAGTTTCCCTACTGCAAATTGATTGGGTATTATTTGTTCATTGCAATTTGCATGTTTCAACTTGAGAGGCATAGTAACAAAGAATTGGATTGATTCCATGACTTCTACTATATTTTCTTTATTTTGTTCTCCTCTTGTTTAGTTATTTTCTTTTTTTTTGCTATGTATTGTACTGTAAATCAATGCAAGATTGATAAGTTAATACCACACAAAATAATTAGTTACATGCACAACCTAATACTTTATGCTTCCCACTCTGTTTGGCCATGGGCGGACCTATAGAGGTTCAAGTAAAGTCAACCGAGTCCACTGAATAACTTGGTAGAGTGGTCAAATTGGGTATATCGTGCCTATATTTATTTGGGGGTACGGGTTCGAACCCAGTTTACTGCCCGCAATAGTTTTTTTTGGTGAATTGTAAATTTTATTTTTATATGATAGGGTTACAACAAAGAAAAAAAAATTTGCATCCCCAAATTATAGACACAATTGATCGAGTATCTTTGACCATAAATTAATATATTTTTGAATAAATAAATATTACTCCGTTTAAAATGGTGATATATCAAAACTATATTTTAAAATAAATTTAATTTTATGTAATTTATATTATAATTAAATATCTTTTTTCTTAGTGTGATTTATAACATTCCCATCTATAACAGTGTCAATCATACAATTTCATTTTTTTAAAAAAATTAGTTCTATTGGTTTATTTTTTGTGGAGTATCATTATTTAACATGAATCTTCGTGCTTTTTATACTGAGAATTGCAAGTATAAAATAATGTTGTCGAACCCACTCCAAAAATAATGTTTGGCACAGAATATTTTACGATATCTGACTAAAATTATAAGTAATTCATTTTATTTAAATATAGATGTGAAATTTCAAAATTACGTGTATATAAAACTAAAGATGACATTAATAAAAATTTGTAGAATATACTCTCTCCGTCCTAGCGTATTTGTCAAGTTTGATTTTTTCGAGTCAAACATATATGATAAACTATAAACTTCAATTCAACAAAAAATGTAATGTAAATTAGTACTCCGTATAAAATTAATTTTTTATAGATTTATCTTTGTTAAAAACTTTATTATTTTCTTCCATTCTACTAAAACGCAGTTCAAAATAAGAGTAATCAAAACTCAAAATTCGTTCAGTTTATTCTGAAAAAGTCAAACTGAACAAATATATTGAAAAAAAATACTCTATAATATATCACTTGAAAATGTGAATAGTAACAACGA